AGGCTCTTCTGTAGCCTCCCTTTCGGCCTTTCACCGTCTCTGAAATCTTCTCCACGGGGAGTGAGACATGGGGTTTTTCCCCTTATAGTTGCTCAACACATGAGCCACTTTGTTTGTAGTCGTAGTTTGGAACTTTTTTCTATATGCCAAGGATGACCCTCTTGGCACATCGAATTTTTGCCATTTCTCTTGGCCTTTTCCTGTTTACTGTCTTTAGCCAAGTGTCCACAGGGACATTTGTTGGAGGCCTGAAAGTTGACGGTCTCTTCATCTGGTTCATTGGTCCTCTTCTGGGATCATATCTGACTTCAGAAACCATGTGGGGTTGGGAATTGGTGGCCCTTTTCTCTTTCATTACCCTTATGCCCTGTATGTGTTTTGCAGCTTTTTTGTCGAAGATGGAGCTGCATCTTGGACACAACATAACTTCAGACTTCTTTTTCTGGCATCGTTGTAGAAAGTCATCCAGATTCTCATTTTCTTTTGGAAATGCAATTTTATTCACTTCCTCTTGTCTAATGGCTTCCTCTGAAGCCTTCACCTCAGATACTTCGACCATGTTGACTTGTACGTTGCTCTTGGCAACGAGATTCATTTTTTGCATTTTAGCCTCAAGGTCCTCTATCGAACCCTTGACGAAATCCACATAAGAACTTACAGTAGTCCTTTTGCTTGAGTCTTTAGTAACTCCTTTGTTTAGGCCTTCAGTAGCCTTTTTGTTTAGGCCTTCATTGGCCTTTCTAACCGCTTCTGCAGTCTTTCTGAAGATGTTCCCAGTAAAACTGCCAAAGACCGACATATTGACAAAATCTTCAGAAGTTTTGACCATGTTGATGCCTGCTGGTTCAGTATAGTGGGCATCGACTCTCAGTGGGTCTTTATCAATTTTCATTTGGGGTTTGTCAGCAAATTTGAGTCTGCCATCTTTGATCGCTCCTTGAACGAGATCCCTGAAAAGAAAACATTGTGAAGTTTTATGGCCCAAAAAATTATGATACTTACAAAAATCTCTTTTCTTTCTTTGTTCTAAAGGAGGCATTTTTTCCCCTGGGGGCACTATCATTTGGCCATCTTTCACTAATAAGTCGAATATCTTATCACATTTTGTGACGTCGAAACTATATGTTTTCTTTGGGAATCTATCGTTGTTCTTTTCAGACTCAGTAGGATTCTTCCCATCTGAGGGTAGTAACATTCTACAAGAGTATGAAGGCCCATGTTTTAACTCTGCTAAATCTATTTCGCTCTCTTCGACGGCTATAGGATTACTAGATGTCTCTAGATCATCATCATCCATTTTGACATAGGCTACCTTTTCTCGTCGATGAGCCTTAGTTGCTTTAGCTTTTTCAATTTTAAGATGTTCTACCTGTTGAACTCTATCGGCCAATTGGGCCATGTCCTTCAGATATTGGGTATCTAGTTTCTTCCTAATATAATAGTTTAGGCCTCCTACGGCCATTTCGACCAATTCATGCTCAGGAACTTGTGTAAAGCATCTGGCTTTGAGCAGTCGAAACCTATTTAGATATTCATCTATTGGCTCGGTGAATCTTCTTTTCACGCTTTCCAGTTCTTTCAGACTTATTTTGGTTTTCCCCATGTAAAATTGTTCATGGAACAATCTCTCCAATTGATTCCAATTGCGGATCGAATTCTCTGGGAGGATGGTGAACCAAGTAAAAGCGTTTTTTGTTAGAGAACTTGGGAAATATTTAATCCTAAGGCTCTCATTATTTTATATTTCCCCAACTTCTATCAAATATCTCGCTATATGTTCGACAGTTGATTCCATCGTATCCCCTGAAAACTTAGTGAACTTTGGAACTTTTCATCTAGGGGGTAAATTTGTTTGCAAGATATATTCTGACTGTGGGGATGTAAAATTTGGCCTACGAAAGCCAACGTTCATTCCATTTTGTATCATGATCCTTTCGATCATGGCTGTCAGATTATTTTTTGTGCCATAATTATGGTGTCGAACTTGCTGTATCAGTTCGTCAGTGTTTTAATTCCTATTTACCATCATTACACCTTGATCACCATCTCTAAGGATCTGCGGGGGAATTCTGGGTATTTCGACCCTAGGTTGTTCGACTTCTACTCCGAGGTTCCTCCTATCGAATTATGGATTTTGGTTAATAGTTACATCTTCTTCTAAGACTACACCTTGATCCTCACTCATAGGAGCTCTCTGGGGTTGTCGAATAGGTTGGGGAACCCTAAAAAATTCAGTCATGCGCGCCATTTGCGTTGTCATTTGTTGGTTTGACTGAGTAGTATTTTTTATTAGAGGGTTCAATATTATACTTAGAGTTTGGGCCAACATTTGCACCATGTCATGGTTACTTTCATCCATTTGTTGCCTCAAAATTGTTGTGGAAGCATTTGTGAGGCTTGGCATTGCATGGGATGTCGCTCCTAAAAGTTGGTTCCTATCCATACCAGTTCTAAATCCCTGTAATAACGAAGACACACTTACCAAAGGTTCTGAAAATGTAGACGCAATGTTCATAAGGCTATCCATTTCAGTAGTTGGCATGTCATAAGGCTGGTCTCGACCCATCCAGGCTGTCGAAAATCCTGGGGGAGCGTGTGGTCGAAATCCTGGATTCACCCTTGGTGGGGGTGTTCCTGTTGGACCTCTGGGACCTGCATACGAAAGTATTGGTCCCGTTTGGATTGCTGTTAACGTTGGTATCGAACCAACAGTTGACGAGACAATTTCACTAACGATTGGTATTACCGTTGTTCCCGTGGTAATTGGTTGAGGTCTTCATTATTTGGCTGATTAGCCATATTACTTTCACTATTTCTCTTTCTAGTTGTACACTCGTTGGTGGTTACTTTACCACTTCTTAATAGCATGCAAAACTTTGTAAAAGAAAGAAAATCATGCGAAGCATTTATATTAAAATTAATAAGCAAAAACGAAAGACAAAATAAATAAAACAACAGTAATTAGCAAGGTCCCACCAGGTGTGCCAATTTTTTCATCGTGTTTTCTGGTAAACAACCGCTGATCTTTCAAAAAGGGTAACTTTTTGGTTACTCACAGGATCGATCAGTTTGATCCTAGGACATGTGCTAATTTTTTATGTTGTTTGGACATAAACGTTAATGTGGGTGAAGAACGCGCGTTCGACTGGAAAAGGATGAGTTTGAGTGCAGAAAGTAAATAGAACAAAGGGGTTCAGGAGAGGTTAGGTGCAGGAATCTGGGTAAAAGTGCAGATAAAGTGCAAACAAGATAAAAAGACAAGAAATATAAAGAGAGAAATAAAAGACTTTGATTGTAAAATGTGGTGTTTCAAACATACATTTTTCAGTATTCTTTCTCACGCAGCGGGTACATGAATAGTATTGAATAATTTGTACGATCAGTTGAACACCTAAAAATCTACATAAACTTCCTCTATTTATACTAAAACTAGGTAACTGTCGAGGAGTTACCTTGCTCTAGGATGAAGACATGTATGTGTCTTCTGCATGCGCTTCGACCCCTCTCTTCATGCCACGTTGTTTTTCTCAACTGTCAAGCAAACTGCTTTTTCCTCCTTTCTTCAGATTCAAAATCTTCTGGTGCAGATACAAAGTTTCCTTCTGGTCGAAGACCTTGGAGTCCTTTCACTCGAAGGGATTGAGAACCTTCTGGTCGAAGATTCATTTTAACTTAGAATTTTTCTAAGTATTTTTCTACTATGTAGAAGCCTTTCCAACTTAGACTTGTTCAATCTATTTTTGCCCCATAAGACCAACTTGTTGTAGGTGTCAAATTTAGAAGCTAATAGAAGCATCCTGAGACACAATAGGTTTGGAGATAACATCGAGATATACCATATTAATGAAAACAAAAACATAAAATACTAAAAAACATTCAAAACAGAAAACATATTACTGGAAAATCAGCATATACAGCTTCCGAAGATGCATCTCCGGATGAGTTCATAGAGAATTCAGAGATACACTTCCGGAGACAACGTAACATTTTTCAGCAATAAAACGTGATTAATATGAACAATTAGGGTTTAAATGAATGAACTTTACCTTAAATTTTAATTTCTTTTACTCTTTTTTATTTGAAGAAACATAAGAATGAAGATTTGGAGTGGAGAACTTGATTGAGAATGGATGGATTTTGGAGAGGATTTCTGGAGAGAAAAAATGGAAATGATGTATGATCAAACAGGTGGTTGTTTTTAGCAAATAACACATTTGATTTTTCGAAGATACATCTCCAGAATAACCTCACATGCAAAGGTGGCAAATTTCTAATTTCCCGCTTTAAGCATTGGAATATACATCTTTGTATATATCTCTGAAATGATCAATTACCAATTTATTTGTCACTATATTTCAGAAATGTATCTCTAAGAAAACTTTAAGTTTGATTATAGGGTGAATCCAATTTTACACGTTGGCGTGAGATGCAAAAGATTCATCTGAAAATGTATTTTCGAAATCTGATGGACATTTTCAATTTTGCATAGGATTCTTTTCTACCTCATAGGATGGATTAAGAAATTTTCTTGATTAAATACTTTTTAGTCCATGGACTTGATAAAATATTATTGACAAATTCATAAACCCAGTTTAAAAAAAAATTAAGTTATATTAATTTTATCAATTTGTGCTAACACTAAATTTAACACATTTTAGATACTTGTGATGAAAAAGAATTACTTTCAAGAATAAATCAATGATACAAAAGAATTTTTGATTAAACTTCCACACCATTCATTCAACCGTTACTCAATAAGGGTTTTTGAATTAGACACCTACATAGAAATGGTGTGCTTCTTTGTATTTAACTCATTCATTTTGAGGATAGGAAACAATTCAGATAGAACATAAGTAAAAAGGATTAATACTATATACAAAATTCAACTATACATCTTTGATCCCTTGAAAACAAAATTACAATATATTCAGCCTGTGATAAATGATAGTCCATTTAGAAAGAAAATTGTGCACATTGGTGGCTATTTATATGCGCTCCTATTAACCTAGACTATATCTAGAGCTACCATGACTATCTGGTCTCTCTTTAGGTAATCTTTCTTCTTGAATTTCTTCTAAATCTTCATTCTCTGCTCTACCAGCTTGTTGTTTCCAATATGCAACCAACTTCTTTAACCGTGCTATTTCTTTTGAACTCACATTTTTGCTAGGATCATTTACAATTGATCTAACTCTCGACGCATACCTAAATAAAAGTACATTAAAATGTTGTTAGAACATGAAAATAAAAATCATAATGTTATTAGAACATGAAAATAGAAAACGTTTTCTCAAATTAGACGCTAAGCCTTTTTGAAGTTCAAAACTAACAAGGAAAGAAAATAAACATGAGTAATAACATACATGAGAGAGTTATGAGTCTCGTCTAAGCTTGATTCTATTGGAGAAACATTGACAAACATGAGAGTTTTCGCATTACCACCAAGTGAATCACTCATCAACATAGTTAACTTGTGATTCCTATAAGGTGTGTGTTGACCACCAGACGACAAGGAACTTATCACATCTCCGAGCGCTGATAACGATTTGTTGATACTTTGTGCTTCCTTCAATTGACTACCCATAGAACCCGACTTTTTCACTCTTTCTGAACCAGCAAGATCAACGAAACTCAGCTGCAAGTTAAATCCAACATAAAATAAGTTAACAATCGCAATAGTAGCTCTAGAAACAATGTTTCATTTTGCTACTTAACTATGTAGACATATTTTACATTGATATAGTGATATTTGAAATGACACTCAAAAAGATATAAATTTTTTTCTAAAAAGTGACAATTAAAAAGGAACGGAGGTACACATTTTCTGTCAGTTTCTTTACATATATTTAAAGAGTTTTAAATATTGAATACCTTTCCCCTTGCAACAGACTGACTTTGAAGGTTTGTACTTTCAATTACTATTGAAAGAATGAGATGAGACCTCGAACTTTCTGCATTCATTTGCGTTCCTGATATATGCCGTCGTTCGGATCCCTTATGTATTATATTATTCAGTTCTTCAATTGTAGAAATTGACACGACTGTTGTGTTTTCCACAACAACCATTCCCTGACATCAAACAAACAAAAACAAAAGCGATATGACCAAGAGAGCAACATGTGATGTGAGAAATTTCCAAGTCCATAATTTTTGGACAGTTTTAACAGGTCCTAGATTTTTCAAATATCTCCGCAAGGTTGCTAAAGCATCCCCCACTTCAACAACTTCTAGAAAAGATGGTTAAGTAACATGCAACCAAATGTCAAAACAACTAATCAAATTTAAGCATGCATATTAACAGTTTTAAATCTAAATGATTTGCATTTAAGTAACAAAATTTTACAAATGGAAAATCACAATCACAACATAGGGATCATTACCGTCGAATCCTTCTTGATATCCAATCTTGAATGCTTTGTATTCTTAGGTAGTAAAAGATCTAAAAGTGTATCTTGATATAATTCCACCATGTATGCCTGCATTGTTAACGCAAGAGAAATCAACATAGGACAACAAGCAGAGTCTAATATAACACCTATGATTTATAGTGGTGAAACCAACTCTATTACTCAAAAAAGATATGGAATATGGAATCCAATGTGTATGTATTTCTTTAGCAATAACTCGTTCAAATTAAATTCTTTAATCATTTACCATTTGAATTTTTACATGTAAAATCACTAGATTTATTGACCACAATTTTCAACCTGAAAAGAGAAATGGAATTCTATTCATCTCCATTTTTTAGAGATTTTACCTTCAACGAAAATGAATATTTGTTACCATCTCTCCTTAAAATTCTAAAAAGTTCGGCAATTGCCCGAGGTGTAAGTCCAGGGTTGTCTTCCGATCCATAGATTGTAAATGTCTTTCCGGAGCCAGTTTGCCCATAAGCAAATATGCACACATTAAAACCATCTACGGCAGATTGCACCAAATACTGCAGTACGAATCATAAAGGAAGTAGTTATGAGTTTAAGGAAAGGTTAGATATCTTATATATTCTCATAAACAGGGCATAACTATGATCTATAAGTTTTTATTGATAGTAAGACTTGCCCTGGTATCCTCAAATACGGTTTCTTGAGTTGCATCACCACCAAAAACACGATCATATATGTACTGCTTTGGCTTATCGTCTTTCCAAAGGAACTCAACAGTAAACTCATCTACCGCAATAACAGCTTCTCTTTCTTTTTCAGCAATCTCTTTGTCACTAAGAGGTCTTAGCCGGCAATAAACTCTGATCTTGCCTTTCATATCTGACATAAATCCGAGTTCAAAGATTAAACATATATATCAGACAAGTATATCTACATAGTCAAATAGAATTGATTCCAGATATAATTAGTTTATGTCACCTACCTTCTATAACATTAAAATAACGCTTTCTTAAAACCTGTTCTTCCTTGTAAAGAGTTTCCATCTCAGCTAGTTGAGCTCCTTGCATCTTCAATATGGCAGCTGTCTGTTCATTCTTTCTATCAATATCCTGAACCAACAAACAAAAAAAGACATGTTTATAAACTGACAGAATAAAGTAAAAGAATATAAAACATTGAAACGTGTATTTGTTATTTTAAGACACAACCCATCGTCTTACGCTCAGGAGTGGATATATGGAGCATGATTCAAGTGGTCTGATAGCGAATGTCAAAAACAAAACAAAAAAAAGTGGTCTAATAGCGGGCGGCCAAATGGATCTTGAATAAGACTCTGATTGATATCATCTAAAAATTTACTCTGGAAACCACATAAAACCTGGTTTGGACGAAGAGGGATGGCCCTCACTACATTTTCAGACCATATCTCACCCAATGTGGGGTTCTCAACAATTATGAGAAAATAATGTTATTTACAATATTATGCAATTATAAAAGTGAAATAAGAGTGCAGACCTCTTTCATTTCTCGCAATTCTTCAAGTTCCTTGAGATTATTGTTCAGTGTGGTCAACTCAGAGTCCTTGACTGAAATAATAGACTTAGCCGCCATTAGTTCTTGTCTATACCCTTCTAGCTTTCTTTCAAGGTCATACACTTCAGACTTCACCGCTTTGCGTTCTTGCTCAAGTTTTCGTTGAAGAGAATTACTCTGCATTACAAAAACCATTACCATCTTAATCTAATATAATGTTTTATAATTTTGAATAATGATTTTTTATCTTCTGTAACCTCTTCAGCATTCCTCTTCTCAAGCACAGACAGTTTCTGTTCTAAAATCTTTTTTTCGCTTGTCAAGGTTTCGATGATTTCCTCAGCTGAATGCAGCTCATCTTTATAATGTTTTAGCTCATACTTAAGCTTTTGTAGCACCTATTGATACCATCGAAGTCGATAGTTAATACATCAAAAGTAAAACCAACAATTTAATTTAAAAAAGTGATAGTATATGCATGAATAATTGTTTCATAGAGTATATCTTACTTGGTTATTTGTTTCAACAAGATCCTTTTTGGAATCGTTCTCTATAACCTGGTAGGTTGCATATTTATTAAGACAAACCAGAAACTGAAACATAAAATAAGAATCGTTTCATGAAGTCAAGACTTTACCTGCAGCGCCAGATCTTTTTTACTGCATAATAACCTAAGCCTTTCCCGGTCACTTGTAACTGCCTCGAGATTTTGCTTATTAGCTTTTAAGGATTCCTTCAAACCATGCACCTGTTCTTGCAATTCTTCTTCCTGTTCCTCCTTCTCACGCAATTCTTTATGCAACTATTCAAGATAAATTAAATTTATAACTAATCGACTGAAAGATGTGCATAGACATCACGATCCTATACAATTAGTACCAAAGTTTATATTTGCCAAGCCAAAGTGAAGGCAAAAAAATCTTATCATGCAAAAAAGGACAACAGACTTAATGGTTCAGTTTGGTGCTTGATACAAAATTGCATGACATGCGATATTATACATTAGAAGATTAGACTTACTTGATCAACATTTCTTTGAGATTCTTCAGCAAGTTTAGATAAATCTTGAATTCGCTTCTCATATGTTTCTGAACTAGGAGGCTTTAAATTATTAGAAACATCACCATTCAAAGAACTGCTGCCACTAGAAGATCGTGTTTTCGAATAGCGGCGCAACATTACATCATTTATATGTGTCTGAAGAGCTACGCAAATTTCTTCACCCTACAACAATGTGTCGCAATGACGGTGATGTAAAACATTTTAAGTAAATTAAGAGAGCATGTTTGGTGTTAAATAACGAAGGTGATATACCTGCTTGGTGTCAAATTGGAATATGTGAAGAACACCGGCTACTCGCATTTTGAAAAAGACTGCCGTATTGCTGCTACCAAATTGCATTATGTCTCTTAACTCAGCTGAGTGCAAATATTCCTTAGGAACTGGACGAAAAAAATGAATCTATAGACAATAGGTTAAGAAAAAGCACACAATTAAAAGCATAATTCATTTTTTAATTTTAAATAACTTGACCAGTTTATTTTTCTGTAGAATCATACCCCTCTTTTATTGATTCCAAGTATTATCCGTCCAGGCAAGAGTCCAATAGGATCATCAATCTTGCGAACATTGAAGAAAACAGAATTTCCATAAGGAAGGGCTCTCAATATACGCAGAAATTGTTGTCTTGCGTCATATTTTGTCAGATGCTCCTATATGAGAAAGGGGAAAATAATTAACAACTCAGCTTTATCTCAGTTATTAATCAAAGGTCAATGCCAAAAAAAATAGATGGCTTTTCCATACCAATGAATGATATCGAGAAAGAATATCAAACTCCCATTCACGTCTTGCTCGAGTCATTGAAATTTGTCTAGGAAGAAATCGCTCCAGAAGTGAATTCCAGTTACTGAGAATCACAAAAATATCAATTGAAGTCACAATCGCAAGGGTATAAGTAATAGAATTAGAAAAGGTCACGCATGAAGACAAAATTTAAATGCTGCTGAACACTGTTGCATGATATTTACGTGCAAAATGAACAATGCAAATCCCTTACGTGCATGATTCAGGTGTGCTAACAGATCCAATCTCAGCCAGGATTTGTAATGCAGAAAGCTGAGCAGCATCATCCTTTCCAACAGGATAATTACCCAAAATATAATCATGCTGCAACTGTAAAACAACACATTCGACATCAATAAATCTATAACCTTGAAGGTAAGTGCAGCTTCGTAGATAAACTAAATATCCTTTCAATCATGTTAGTTTAAATATAATGAAAAAGCATACTTGTACATAGGACAACTGCACAAACATTGGATCTGTCACAGCTTCATCGGATTCACGAAAAAGCCTTTTCTTGAATATCAGTTTACAGTGCAAAGTATCTCCCTTATTTCGATCTTTGGCTGCTCTAAAGCCCGCCAGGAGATCCCCAATGTATTTGTTATCATCTAATCCAATGTACTCCTCTGAGAAACAATAAAAGAATTCATTATTATACTAATAAATTAAAGCTAGGATATACCATAACAGCCGTAAAAAGAGAAAACGGCATACCATTCCCAGGATCAGATGATTTGGAACTTGTAATAACTTTACGACATTCAAACAGACTAAAACTAGAGTATGTAGACAGTTTAATGAGCCCTGCGAGTTCCTGGAGTAAACATGTTGAGTAAGCAATAAAAGTGTAAAAAACAAGAAATTAGGGTATCACGAACTTCAAACTGAAGCACACAAACTAATATGACAATATAAGAAAGCATCTTAATCTTAATACCTAATCAATACAGGAGCCAATTCTCACAGCAGACCCAGACAATAACGATGTTTGGTCGATGCCTTTTGAGTTTGCTATTTTAGGCACTGGTTGACTATATATAGCGGGTCAACAATAACAATGGCTAAAACCCTACAAAAAGTGAAAGACTATCGAACTAAAAAGCTCAAGGGCCAATCTGATTTTTGTCTAAATGATTTCTCATATATTTATAAGGAAATGTACAAATAGATATGCAGGATAAAGTAGTATCGGAATCGCTGAATTTAAATATCTATGGCAACTAGGAAGGTCTAATAAATTAATAATGATGACTATACCCTTTTTCTAGTTCAAGCCTCGAATCTTATTCAAGTTGCAGATTTAAAGTGACTAGAAACCTTATTCCAAAGAAGGTATGAACAATGAAACTGGATGCTTGTCAATTACCTACATTAGAATGAGTAAGTTTTGTCTCTAACCTCTCGTAATCATTTCCATTGAAGTCATTTCAGTTACTTATATATTTTCACACTTCAGTTACTTGAATGTTCATTGTTCAATCCCCATGATATTTTGAATATATTTACATCAGTTAGAAATGCAAGCAATTCCAAAATAATAGCATATAAGAGTTTCAAAGAACCTCGACAGCGTCAGCGACTGTTGTTGACATGTCGTACGTAATTTCTTCAAATGTTTCATCTAAGAAGAACACTACATTTGTAAGCTTTATCCCTGTCAACAAAGCTTCAATCTCTTCACGTCCAGGTATTACATGTCTAGAACCAGCCTTAACAGAACGCTTCAAAGCATTCAACGAATTTAATGCAAGGGCTTGAATCTCGGAATCAGTAGAAACACTATGTGCTATGTTATGAGCGTATTCCGACAAATAAACTGCAATATCTTTACTAGGGGACATGGAGGATGCGCATACATACATAAGCTCCCATGACTTGATCAAGTATTGCCTATTTTTAAGACAAGACATACATTATTCACTAGTACAACAACAACAGTGGATAAAGAGTCGAGGACGGAAAAACCAAGAAAAGATGAAACATGACACTCAATACTAAATCTGAGAGTTACATACCTATCAGGGTTATTTCTTGTTTGTTTTGATATTTGAATAAAAAGCTCATCTCGAAGTTCTGATCGTTTCAAACTATGCTTGTATAGTTTCTCAACAAGCTCAACTCGTTCATCTAAGCTTAATGGAGTTGCACAATCAGAAGACTCAACAACTCCGGTATACTTCAAAATCATCTGGAATAATTTTGTCGCGCGACTTACTAAATCACCATTAATCTTAAGCAATGCCGTTGGTATTGGATCCTACAGGAATCAAGGAATCAGGATGTTAGCTCTTCACAGGTTAAAAAGAATTTTAGATATTTGATTTGCTTTTACCTTTTGAAAAGAAAGCATGTCCTCAAATGTAAATTTCTCACGAGCTTGGGGATCTGAAGATCTTTTAGAAAAAAAACCACGTTTCCCAGCAGATTGAATTTGTTTATGCATCATTTTTAAAAATCCATCCACCTATGACAATCAACATTATCAGAAATTGATGATATCAAATGCTAACGCGTATCCATATTAAAATATAAAGTTTTTCACCTGAAATTTGTCAATCAAGGGTATAGCTCCAGCAAGTTCTGCTGGAACAGCCATTGACAGAGTCGATGGAGTTCTGCAAAAACAAACCGAATACGAGTCACAAAAAATGTTACTTGTAGAATCAAATATTTGTTACAATCAGCGAGGAAATTCAAATACATCCTAACTCAAAGAATGATATGATGCTCGTTATTCGAATACATCCTAACTCAAAGAATGATATGATGCTCGTTACTCACGATGGTGCTAAATTTGAGCTATCACAATCAGAATCATCGGCAATACTAACAGCAGTGTAGTTGTTGACAAGAGTATTCTCAGTGCCATTGTTAGAACTAAAGGAAGATCTGCTTGAGCGGGAATTTTGAGCCATGGATGGTGGCATATCAATGATCATGTTAATCTCGCAACATCACATATTTTGCATTGCTTTATCCTTCAACTTCTTCCACTGCATAACAAAAACCCAAACACCATTAAAAAAAAAAACTAATTAAACATATTCTGTTATTTGCCGGATTCTCCACCAACCGAAACTCGTTCATCAATTGAGTTTAAGCACTTGGTTAACGGTATAAGTAGATTGAAAACCCTTATGTAACTAAGAACCGAACTCAACAAGAGAAGTATATAGCTAGTGTAATTGAATTGTAAACTGAAAATTCCTGTTAAAACCTAGGGCAGGAACATCGCCAACAGAATCATCAACGATGAGTTGAGAAATGAAAAACTATGGAAATGGAAATCAAACCTTTGAGACGGTAGTAGAAGAGGTGAGTTGCAACAACAATGGAGGTGGTGTGTGAGAAGAGGATAGGGATAGGGATAGAGATAGAGAGAAAGAGAGAGATCTGAGAGAGAAGAAAAGGGTAAAATGAAGAAGAGAGTGATGAGAGTCCAAATTGGTATAGAGTGAGAGAAACGATTAAGGAAAGAGCTAAATGCAGAATTGAGTGAGAGAAAGACAGAAAGGCACATGTGCGTTTTAAATGAATACAATCCAAACAACCCTTTAGTTTCAAACTATCAAATTTTACTTTTCTCTTTTATTTCTCCACTTTTTTTATTATTAATTCTTGTTTTTCTGTTACATGGATGAAAGAAGAAAAAAAAATGAAAAAAACAAGAAAAGTATATGAAAATCAAGCCTTTGAATTTGGATGAAGAAGGAAGTAATAATACTCAACAGTTTTTTTACTTGTTAGAATGGAAAACCAAACGGTAAAAGGACTGATACAAGATTTTGAATTTCAAATGTATTTTGGGATATATAGGGGATATTTCAATTTAATAATACACTATTTATTCTAGTATTAGCCAATCATATGATTTAGATCTTTAAAATTATAGGTTCATAAATTAGGTCACACTATATTTATAAAATCGCCATCAATTTTGTTAATTCGTTAAAAGAGTTGAGTTTGCATATTATTTAGGAAATTTTAAGTTTAAACATATTTTTATTTTTAAAAAACAACTGTTTTAATATATTATTATAAATTTATTTAGAGATACTATTGATATTTATTTATTTTTATGTAGATTCATCAAAAGAATCAAAAGAATTGAATTTATTGTAGAGAAATTAAATAATTTACTTTAACAATTTAAAGTGAGAGGGTGATAGTTTTGTTCAAGGTAGTGATGACTTTTATGATTTAAAGAGGATTTATGGGTCTCAAATTCAGAACTTCATGATGCAATTTTAATTTTTCTATCAATAGAAATTGAGAATTTTTTAAATTTTATTATTAATATATTATTTTTAAATAAAAAATTATTTTATTTATACTCCTTAAATCTTACTGCTATAATATTTATTTTATTTTATCATATCAAACAAATCAAAAATAAGTATACAATACAAGAAAGGAAGTAAATAATATTTTTTTTAAATAATATCAATTATTAATATATTTTTATCATCACTATTAATATATAATCAATAATAATTAAAAAATTATGTATAATATTAATTAGTTGAAACAACTCATACATAAATAAAAAAGAAAATTTTATTGAGACATTTGTTTTATACTTTTTAAAAATCAAATAACTTTATATTTTAAGAAGAAAATAAGACAAGCGAGAAGAGGGGGAGGTCTAATCAAAACCCTCTCAAAAGTTAGAAAATCTATAACATTGTGTATCTCTAGCATATTGTGCATGAGAGAAGGAACAAGAAAGATGGAATCAAATTCAAAAGCAAGGGTTAGGAGGAGCTAGAGAAATAGAGTTCGGCTTATCTGTGTATTGGTTATCTTTACGAAAGATGTGAAAGATGAAGAACTATATTTTTTATCTTGGCCTTACAATTCACCTATCTTGTGTGAAGGTTCTAAGGCACGATAAGAGAGTTCTGCATGGCAAGGAGAACGAGAGAAGAATAAGACTCGAGTCATATATTTGACCAACCAAATTAGCAAGCAATGCCAATGGCTTTTATCACTCCTAAAAGTTATGCTTGAAATGTATAATTGTAATCAATAATTCTACAAAGGCGTAAACAAAAGCATCATTAGAGTCTCTAAAAAGATCGCCACAAGAAGGTAAATGAGATGAAAATGAGTCACCAATATTACACTTAACTCACTCACTAGATAGAGGGTGCCACAAAACCTTTAGAATTTTGGGCGTTTTAGGAGGATGAATATGAATGTTGAAATTTTTTATAATCAAAATCTATAATGAATGAGTTAGAGATCTTTTTGGTGATGTTGCCTATAAGAGAAACCTCAACATGAATGAGATTTAAGGTCTTTGTTTATATCAATGTTTTAAAAACCGGACCGAAGGAGATGTTCGATTTAAGGTTCAATTGGTTAAACTTACGATCAGACCATTTATTAAATTAACTAATAATATGAAATTCAATTTCATAGATATATAACATATAATTATATGTTCATAAATTAATAAAATAAATATTTTTAAAAATACATTACAAACTTAATACAACAGTATTGATAGTATATATAATAGTATAACATAGTTATATACTTTATTTCAACTTTCATTTAAGAATAATTTGAACAGATTAAACTAATTCAAATCAAAATTAAAATAATAGAACATAATAACTAAAATAAAGTTCAAATAATTAAGAGTATCTAAATTAAATAATATAGAATATAAAAAATAAATAATATAAGAGTTTAAGTTTTTGACATATTAAATTTATAAAAAAAATACAAAAAAAATGGCTATTTCGATGCATTTTTTTGAACCAGGTGGTTTTACGAAACCGGCTCCGATTCTTTAGTTCGATTGATTTTGGACGGTTCAATCCAGTTTTTTTGATTTTACTCCGATTTTGACTCACGTGTGGTTTGAAAATATTGATCCAACCGGATTCATATCTGATTCCTGATCCAACCGGTTGAACCGATCTGTTCGATCTGGTAAACATTGATTTATATACGGTTATTATGGGATGGAAGTATTTACACAAAGAGTGTCACATTAATGTTTTGTTTGGATTGGAAAAAAATGAAAAGAAAAAATGCATAAGGAATGAAAATGAAAGAGCAATATTTTAAAAACTGAACCAAATCATTTGGTTGGATCGGAAATCGGAGGTGACTCTGATCCGATCAGCTTTGTAAAATTTTAAGTGAGTCAAAATCGAAGTAAAACTAAAAAAATTGTATTGAACCGCTCAAAATTATTCGAACTAAAGAACTAGAGTCGATTTTTTAAAACCGCCCGGTTCAGACAAATGCCTATCATTGACCAATTTTAGTGTTTTTTTATTAAAAATTTAAAATAATTATTATATTAGCATTAATACTAAAACATTTTCCCTTCACAAAAAAAGAAATTATTTTTTAACACAAAAGAGAAACACAAATTTATAAGTTATAATACTATGTTATAATTTTGTTTCTTTAAGTGTACTATTATATTGTGTAGTTATATTTATCATTAATCTCATAGTATTAATTTTGAAATGAATTTTTAAAATATTTATTTCATTAATATGTGAACATATGATTATGCTACTTATCTATAAAATTTATCTTTATATTGTAAATTTATTTAATAAATGGTTTGACTTTAGGTGTAATCGGTTGAATTAAATGAACCTTAAATCAAAAGTCTTGTCGATTCAACCTCCAATTTGATTTTTAAAATATTGTGATAGAGAATAAATGAAATATTAGATTATTTTATAGTTATTTGGTATGACGAAAGTGAAAATAAAATAAGAGGAAAAAATTGTAAACCCCCTTCAATATTATAATAAAAAATATCATAAATCTTGGTCATAGTTATAAGCAAAATTATAAGTAAAAGTCAATAATTTTTTTAACTAGTTAATGCATGTGCTATTATCATATCCTTGATATAATTCAAAAGTATTTAATGTGAAAAGTTGATTCATCAAATATAGTTAATGATATTATAGTAAATTTTATTGTTATTGTATATGAAATTAAGAAAATTAATATAATTAATTAACTTTTTAATCAATATAAAATTAGTTATTTTTGTTTATAATTGTGACCGGAGGAAGTATTAAGTATGAGTAAAATTGAAAATAAAATGAGAAAAAAATATATGTCTTAAGTAAATGATATATCATTTATATGAGATTATTTTATAGTTATTTGAGTATCACGTATAAAAATGGATAACTTTGTCTTTTTGTTAAATTGGATGTGTATTCGGTTGTTTTTTATAGTGGGGTCCATCAAATATAAGTTTCCTGAGTGATTTTATCATGTGACTCTCACTTTGACCCGCACCATCCACAGACTCCATGAATTTACCTTTTTAACCTTGTAAAATATCAAAACTCATTTCACAAAATCATTGACTTATTTCTAATTTTGCAAAACATTTTATCTAAATCAGATTTTTAAAACAAACTATCGAATATTTCAAATTTATGATCACTAAGTATTAATGTTTACCGCACTTTTTAGTTTATGCCGCTTTTTTCATGTAGTTTTGCTAGATTTTTGGAAATATTCAGTAAAATCACATATTTTGTAGGTATTTTTATTGGTTTTTTGAAAAAACCGATAAAAATGCATACAAAATATGTGTTTTTACCGGATATTTCCAAAACTTTGATAAAACTCCATACATTATACCGAGCTTTTTTAAAAATAACTGATAAAGGTGTATACATTTTTTACCATTTTTTAAAATTTAAAGGCAAGTATGGCTAGTACCGAAATTTTCAAAAAATCTAGAAAAATATATGCATTTTTACCATTTTTAAATCCAAAAATTGTCACTATGCTACCGGAATTTTCAAAAAATATGGTAGGTTAAATATTTGTGTTTTTTTCAGTGAGGATCAGATGACACGATTGCTTCTCGGTAAGGCGATAGAGCTGAAGTTGCTGTAGTTACAGCTCGAGCTAGGCAAAGTGACGTTGAGGACTC